TTTTAAAGTAAAAATAATAACATTAAGTGAACATTCCAGACATCTTTCTAGGCATACTAAATATGATTGGATGCCTAAATATAATTAAATTTTAAATATGTAACTGTATTATGGTTGCTATAAAACACAAAACTTAATTTCAGTTTACTTGAATTTGTCACAAGAAAAACTAAAATAAAAGAGAAATAATTGTTGAATTTCAAAATAAAAAATGCTTCTACACCACAAAAGATATTATGATCACAGGAGAGCTAAAAGGTCTCTCTAAAATTAAGAAAATAAATGATAAGTAAACTAAAGGAATGCAATCACTGGTTTTTATCACCTAGGTATTTCAGTATTATAGTATCAGTTGACTACTTGGTAAAAAATATGATAAAGTCATCAATATTCAGAATTCCTTCCATCCACTCTTTCCAACTTCAGGCTTTTTGTTGTTGTTGTTAATATGATGCTTTTTACATTGTCTAGATACTTAGCATTTACATTTGACCTTGTACCTATAATTCTCACAATTGTTTTCAATATTGGTTCTGTATTTAAATGTGTAGTTGCAGGTCCTTTTACATGGTCCTTTTGCCATCTTCATTACTGAATTCTTTTATTTCCTCTCTATAAGCAATTCATATGTTTATTGGTTATATTTTATTATCATGTAGTTTGGGTTTTTTCCTCCCCAAGATGACTGACTCATGGATGCTGAATTGCCAGCATTTTTTTTTATGTTTGATAATTTCAAATGCTATATTGGCTGGGTATAATATTCTTGGATCACTTTTCCCTCAGAACTTAATAGATATTGCTCCATTATCTTGTAACACTAACAGTTGATGTAAAGAAATCTGAAGCTATTCTAAAATTTACCATTTATTAAGAGATTGAGGTATTAAAGAACCTGTATTCAAAGTTTTCCTCATCCATAGTATTACACTTTCAATCTCCAGATGCAGTTCTTTTTTGTATTTATCAGGAAACTTTTCTTAGATTAACTTTTCTTATCTTTTTATTCATCTGCAGTTACATTCATTGGATTCCTATTTCAAGGATAGCAATTACCAATCCTGTAGTATTTTTTCTTACCTATTAGCTTCTTTAATTCCTTTAATCTCTGCCTTTTTATCTTAATTTGCTGGAATTTTATATTAGCAAAGTATTTCCCTTTATTTTCAAATTGTGAGTCATAATATTCCTCAACCATAGTCAGTTCCCACTACTGATAGCACAGTTGTTTATCAACAGTCATGGCACAGAGTGAGCTATGTGGTACCTGAAAGACCATTCCCTCATTGTCTGTGGATCTCTAGGTTTTTATTCCTCAAATATTAATGTGCTGGCACCGCTATCAAATTTAAATCTAGGCTAAGTCAATTCTTTGTGTTTTAATGGCAGGCTAGGCACGATCATATTTTTTATCTGCATATTTTTATCATGTATCGTTGGTCAAAACTCTCTGCCAGAATCTAAAATAAGTCCTAGACACAGGCCATATGGAGTAAGTGTGTCAGGTTGCTCAACACATTTAGCTCAGGGTTGCTGAGCGGTCTTGCTGTATGGGTGTGTTAATGCTCATTGGTGGAGGACATAGTATGAAGTCTGTCGCACTAGCAAATTGGCTGTGAGTACAGGGTAGCATTCAGAATAAAGGAAAAATAAATCATGAACTAATGATTCACTTTATTTAAAGGCAAATAATATTAAAGGCATGGACCTGGGCAGCGGTTAAATGGGTTCAGTTAATTCATTTGATATTTTAACCACTTTTCTGTAATGTGAAGGAATTATGGGATGGGAGAGGCAGGGACAAAGAGGATTGCTGACTAAGACAGCTTGCCTGCAGTTACGGTTCAAATACCTGGGTTTAATTCTCTTCTGAGGTCTTTTCACAAGTCCTACAAAACTTAACTGCTCCTAGTTGAGGGCTATGTCTTAGTCTTCAGAGGGGACACTAGGGTGTCAGAGGAGTTCTCCAAATCAGTGAAAAGCTCTGAGACTTCACTTCCTTCAGAGACAGGCAGCTCAGTCCACTTCTCATTGGCCACCACTCCTTGGTTACATTTGTCGAATGGCAATGTTGATACTTTCTCACTTCATGTGGAACTGATGGAAACTATTGAGATAATCAGCCAAAATCTCTTATACTTATTTTGCTCCTTGATGATATTGAAAATATCTATTAACTACTCAGCAGTCTCATTTGTGTCTCACTGAATGTTGGGTAATAATTCCTGAATTAAAAGAAATGCAAAATTGGCCATAGTGGATATGGTCAATCCAGATCCAATCTAACTAAAGACTTTTGAAAGCATTTTTCATCATTTTAGTAGGAAGTCCAACTAAATAATCAAAACAGAAATGCTCCAAAAGAACTCCCTTCTCTGTAAGCCTTCACTAGGTAAAGAATAAGAACAGATGGGTTATGTATGTCCTGTTTCTGAAACAGTTAACCTGTTATTTTGTAGGATATTGTCTTTGTGAGCAACTTGAGAGAAGGAGTCAAACATTTTATTTTTGCATCTCAGTGCCTGGCAATGCACACAGTGGGTGGTCAGCATATTGGATTGAATAATTGAGATTCTAGAGTCTGTCTCTCTCTCTCTCTCTCTCTCTCTC